CCTGGGCTGGGGTCAAGGAAGGTAATGGCATCGCGGTCCTGGCGGGCCGCGGGATCCTGCGGGGCTGACTCCGTCAGCGCCGCCAGAGTCCTTGGCACGGCAGCCCCCCAAAGCCTCAGGGCGCCGTTGTGCGCGCGGAGCCCGCCCCGCCCCAGGGCTCTTTGCTGCAATGCAAGTGGGGAGCGCGGGCTTGCAGGGTTGTTCCAAGGCGGCCGCTACCCTCCCTCCGGATACTCCTGGCTGGGCGCGCGGGGGGCCCCTGGGATACCCCAGACTCACAGCCCCAGGGCTCACCCACCGCCCAGCCCTGAGCATTTGGGGGTTAGGGGGCGCGCGCGCGCTGGGGCCGGTCCCGCGCGGTGCTAGCGGCTGCGGCGGCTCCGCGCTCGCCCCGGGCAGAACAGGTTCCTTCCAGTTTGGGTGTGAGCTGCGCGCGCCGCGGACCCCGAGTTCCTCCTTCAGCGCCCACTTCCCCCAGTTTCGTCAACTCGCGCACCCTTCCGGGGGAGAGAGGAGGGAGTAATGCAGTGGGCCCTAGGGAGCGAGGCGCCGGGCTGCTCCGGGGGCCTTGTTTCCTCCCCCCACTTTGCAGTAGCAGCAGCTACAGCATCCGCGTTGCGCGAGAGGGATGTGAGCCGCCAGGCTGAGTCAGCATCCCCGGCCCGGAGCGCGCGCGAACCCTCCCTTCCAGGCGGAAGGCCAGTCTATACAGGTGCATGGCTGCACTACCTTCGGCCAGCTGCCCCACGGGGGAGCCAAAGGTTTGGGGACTGTGTGACCCTCATCCCGAAGTCCCTGTAAAGTAAGCAGATGATGCATAGGAGACCACAGTTGCGAGCTCAGCGTAGTGACAAAACAATGTCGGATCCCAGGCATTTCAGGGCACGCGGGGCGGGGGCGCTGAGTTGGCTTCCTGGTCTCCGCCTCATCCCCAGGGCAACTTTGGGACCTACTCCGAAGCAAAGCCTTATTCACCGCATTCCCTTGCGGACGTTAGCACGGGCTGCTTTCTTCATTGGGATTAAGGGGAATTTGGTTCTGATGTCAGTAATTCGAGAGAACCTAGTTTGGGAGTGTGTGCACGGAAGGCCACCACCGGGAGGAGTCAGCTGCCTGATTTCTCGTTTCAGGATAGAGTCTGCTGGGATAAAGGCGCCCTGGTGGTGCAGTGGTTAAGCG